GCTATTGGACGGTCTACTGACAGCGTCGAAGACACGGCACACAGATGGATGGTTAGTTGCAACGACGCTTCATGCTGTGTGCGAGAAGTGGAAAATTGTAACCGGCAATGGGGCGGCCGATGGCCGACATTTAATGCGACGACGTGTGTAGTAGAGTAGCATGGTGCGGACCAACTGTCACCGTCACCGTCGCCGGGATGAGAAAGTTTTTGCGATTGCAAAGTAACTTTTTCCAATATGCTGCGTGACTGTACGGCTTTGCGAAGAACTGAGTTATTTGTCACTGACAAGATTTATATAAGTTGCGGGCGAAAACGACGTCTTGCTGACAATGGTTTAAAGCACAATTAAGCGATCAGTCTTGTCCTACGATGCGGGCGTTTGCGCATGTGTGCGTTTGTGCCACTTGGGCTAACCAATGCATGACTGTGGCAGACAGTGACCGAGCCCGTTGCACCGTATGCACATGGACGATAAATGTCTGCACCGTCCTGTGACTGTCCAGCGGGTTCGTCGGTCGAATAATAATAACTGAAAGGCATAACCAGCTAACTAACTGATCGCACGGTCGCGGTCGGTCGGTCGGTCGGTCGGACGGACGTCGGCGGCACATCGCAGATCTGTCGTCAGTTTTTGCTAGCTTTATGATTGAGGTCAGCCGTCGCGCGCTTAAGGTTCACGTGTACGCCGAGCGTTTAGACTTTATTCTTCTAATCGCTGACTCGTCTCCGCTTGTTCTTCGTCTTCATGTCTCTTCATCTGACTTACTGTCGTGCATGTTTAAGGAGGCGACTTCTCGCTGACAACGAAGTTCGTCAACGTCGACCATGCCACTGACATGCCATCCATACGGTCGAAGAAAGCGTGCTGAGGCCATCGCCGTCACCGTCGCCCAGTGGGGCGCTCACTGTGCGATAGCACACGGTCGACAACAGGAGCATTCATGTACGATATTGGCCATCCCCTAAAAGCAACGCATTCGGCAGTGCTTGGTCGACGACAACTGGTGTTGACTTTTGCGAGTGACCACAACTGAAGCAAGTGCCAGTGACCGCGTGCGTTCGTCTGACGTTCGCCAATTCAGCGTGCATTCTCCGTTCTCGTCTAGCGAGCACCTCTGACTGTCTTCGACCGGTAGACTGGCAACGGTAGTAGGTCGTCATTGCACAGTGATACGAAATTTGAACTAATCGCACCTGCTGCAACCGAGTCCGGTTACGCGACGCGACGCTACGCTACGCTACGCGGCACGATGCGACGCGACGCGGCACGACCGTAAAACGTCGTTCGCCGGCGCCGGCAAACGCTGCGATCCGGAAACTGTAACTCATCTCATTTCTCTCACACGGCGCTTGTGTTGTGTGCTGACTGCAAGAGTGTGCTGTGTACTGTGTGCGGCGTGGCGGCGCTACGTGTCGCCAGTGTCGCCGGTATTTGAGTTCTGTCGTTTCAGCGTCGCTCGCGAATCGAACGATGTCGTCGCGCGCTGGCTTTCATCACCTGCGTCTGCTGTTCGCGTTGTTGTTGTTGTTGTTGTTTGTGTGCTGCGCGCGCTGCTGGTCAAAGCCGCTGCACCGACTGCACGTCGACAAGTCGCGAGGCGACAAGGTGAAAGGGCAGCCGACGTACCTCAACGACGACCTGGCGTCCAAGGTATCCAGTCTCAGCAAGACGATGGAGATGTTCCAGAGTTTTCAGCGGCTGCTCAGCGAGAAGGTGCTCGCCAACGCTGACAACAGCCCGTCCAGCCAGAATTACAAGTTCACCGGATCATCACCTTCGATCACGTACGAGATCGAGCCGATCAAACAGAACAGACCCTCGGACAAGGTTGACGACGACGAGTCGTCATCGTCGCTTGATTACGGCTATCCGAAACGTGACAACGACGACACAGGCGGTGGTCCACATTTCTCAGTGGCGTCCCACAAGCATCGTCACCCTCAGAGCGTGCATGCTGCTCAAACGCAGGCGCCGTCCATAGAACCAGCCGGGTTCGAAACGGACGCTGGCGGCGGCGGTGCAGGGGGCCGTCAAAATCTGTACGGGCATTTTGGAATCCGCGTCAACGCCAACATCCACCGATCAGATCAGCTCTCGACCGGAGCAAAGGATCAGATCAGCCTGATGGAGACTCGCAAAGAAGCAGAAAAGCTGTTCGCAGGCGGCGGCAGTGCCGCACTGATGCTTCAGGAAAACTCGGGTTAGCTTATTTTCATGTTTTCTTGCTGTTCATGCTGCGGCATTCCTTCGACCGGTCGCTCGGTCCAAAAATCTCTCCATCCGTTTGTTCACCGACACACCGCCATCCTGCTGCTAGTATACCATCACTTGATGACCGGTGCTTCGAGTTGCGTCCAGTGCACATGTTTCATACATGAATA